ACTGAAGTCAACCTGTCTACAAAGACTTATTAGTTTCCCTTTGGTACACTCACCAGGGAAGATGTTGCTAAAATAACCTCCAAGAGAGAGCCCACTCCAGGGTATCCTCCAGGTTTGTGCTCCAAACCCCTCCTTGTTTTGAATTGAGCAGATTGTAAGCTGCAAACTTAGACCAGGCAGTACCCACAACTTCCTTCTCTCAGAATATATGAACATCCAGGATGAAGAGGAGCTAACCTTCTTTCCGTCCTGTGAGTCCACACTGCCGGGCTCACAGCAGCCCAGGTCTTGTTGAGTGGACAGAAGGGCAGAGCAGCAGCAACAGTAGCACATCCATCTCTGTCTTTCTCTCAGCCGTGCTCTTTCAGATCTGTCTTTCTTAGAGGCTGTCTTCGTTTCTTGGTGCTGCTATAGCTCTCAAGAGGGTGGCTTTAAATGAACAGGAATTTATTTTTTCCACAGTTTTGGTACCTGGAAGTCTGAATTCAAGACTCTGGCTTTAGAGAAAGGCTTTCTCTCTTTGACCATTCTGGGAGGAAACTGTCTTAGCATCTGTGGGCATTCCTTGGTAATGACCAGTTATCTTTTCTCCCTTCCTGTTTGCTTCTGGCCTAATCAACTCTTTTTATGTTTTAGAAGTGCTTGGCTTATGACACATCCTATGCTGATACAATCTCATTAAAATACAGAAATATCTTATTCCCAAGTGGGATTACATCCACATGAGTAAGTAGGGGCCATCGAGTGGGTTCCGACTCATCGAAACCTTATTCACAACAGAGCAAAACACTGCCCAGTCTTGTGCCATCCTCAGGATGCCACCCCTTGTCTCTCAGTTGGTCATGCTATGATGGCTTGTTTGTTGCTAGAAGCTATGCCACCAGTATTTTAAATACCAATAGGATGGGTTTCATCAGAGCTTCCAGGCTAAGACAGACTAGGACGAAAGAGAGGCAGACCACTTTTCAAGGGTTAGCCACTAAGACCCTTATGAATAGCAATATGTCTAGGGGCTAAGAATCCAGCACATATTTTGGGGGAAACAATTCAATTCATAATCGGGGCCCTGGCACCAAATCCTGAGGTGCTCTATGTGATAGTTTGCCTCAACTAAACTGGTCCAGGATTCTAAGTGATTTACAAGTTAAGATGTAGTCATCCCCCAGGATGAGCTCCCATATCACGTCATCACCACCCCCATGAACTGATCTGATGTGATCAGCCCTGATTGGATATCATCATCCTATGTGTTGTAAATCCTCATGCCTCTGATAATAATGAGGTTGGAGGCAATCTATAGTATTAGGTTAAATTTTGAGTCAATCTCTTTTCAGATATAGAAGAGATCAAACAAGCAATCAGAGCTGAAAGGAACCTACTACCATCACTCAAGAAGAGCCGAGAGTAGAGTGTCTTCCTGCACTGTGAAGCACCTACATTCAGGAAAAGACTGATGTCATTACACATGGAGATCGCCAAGGAATGTGGGGGCTACCGATGCCGAGATGAGACAAACACATTTTGCCAGGGCTGACAAAGACAGAAAGGCTTTCCCGAGAGCATGCATTCTTGAATCTGGACTTCTCACCTCCTAAACTGAGAGAAAGGAGCTCTGGTAGTGTAGTGGTTACGAATCGGGCTGTGAACCGCAAGGTCAGCAGTTTGAAACTACCAGCTGTTCCGCAGGAGAAAGATGAGGCTTTCTGCTCCCATAAAGATTTACAGTCTCGGAAACCCTGTACAGGGTCTCTATGGGTCGGAACCGACTCCACGACACATGCCAACAACAAGAAAACTGAGAGAGAATACATTTCTCTGTGTTAACAGCATCCACTTGTGTCTTTCCATTAGAGCAGCACATGAGAACTCAAAACACTGAGCATCCCTTCACCGGTGCGACACACAGATGAACAGATAGATGCTGTCTCATCAACTCTGATTCACGGTGACCCTATGTACAACAGGATGAAACACGGTCCAGTCCTTTATATCTGCTGTGTTAATCCACCTCATCAAAAACCTCCCTCGCCCTTGTTGGCTCTCTCCTTCACCAAACATGGTGTCCACCTCCAGCCATTGATCCCACCTGATGACGTGTCCACAGTAAGCATGATGGACACCGTTCCATCATAATTCATAAAGTTTTCATTGGCTTATGTTAGGAAGTAGCTCTCCAGGTCTTTCTTCCTAGTCTCTTTTAGTCTTGAGGTTCTGCTGAAACCTGTCCACCATGGATGACCCTGCTGACGTTTGAAATCCTGGTGGTGTTGCTTACAACATCACAGCAACATGCAAGTACAAAATCAGCTACAGAACCACAAATGGGCAGAGGGGTGGTGGGATGTTATGTATTAAAACAACAACAACAACAACAACAACAACAAACAGTTTCCTTTGAGTTGCTTTCAACTCATGGTGACCCCATATGTTTCAGAGTAGAACTGTGCTTCATAGGGTTTTATTGGGGGGGATTGCCAGGCTTTTCTTCTGAGGTATCTCTGGATTGACTTGAACCTCTAACCTCCCAGTTAGCAACAGAGCATTCGTTGTTTGCATCTTCCAGGAACAACAGAGAGGTTTTGTTCTCAACTTGCAGTCTTGGCTACTTAAAGACATCATTCTTCTGGCGGGTTCCCTGACTCACAGTAGGCGACACAGTGGGAAGCTTTCTGTCCCTTTTCTAGTTCTTTCTTCCTCTTTCTGAACAGCAGATGCAAGCTTCTTTCATGAGAAAGAAGTTGGGACAAGGACAGAAAAAAAGAAAGGAAAAGCAGACATCTGAAAACCACAAGGCAATTAAATGATTCGGGGCCTTTGAAATCCACCAGATAGTTCAACTGCTTGTACTTTCATGTTCTTCGTTGGGCTTCTCCATACATGACACCTCTGCCAAATAACCAAGACAGGAAAGCTAGGGAGACTCACATCCTCTTGGTCTGGGCTCTCATCAAGATACTTGTAGGTTTTAGTTCCAAACAATAGAAAGTAGTTTCCTGGGTCTTGGTGGTCAGCTGACCTTTCTCTTCTTCACCCTATGCCTAAGATATAACCCCTAACGTGGGAAACTGTGCAATCTTTATCAGGGTCTTCTTGCTGTCGGTGAGCCCCTGGACTGCCCACATGTATTTGTTCTGTTCTGTAACCTTCACATCCATTTTGCATTTGTGAAAGAAGAGTCACGAATCTACACAAGCCACATTGAGAGCAGCAGAAATGGTTTGTGATTGGCTGCTAATTAAAAGGTTCATAGTTCAAATCTATCCAGTGGTCCTTGGAAGAAAGGCCTGGCTATCTGGTTTAAGGATCGTTGGTTTTGCTAAGTGCTGCTGAATGGATTCCAACTCATTGTGGTCCCAACAACTCATAGTGACAGAGGAGAACTGCCTTGGGGGGTGGGGGAGCTTAGGCTGGATGGAGCCGCTGGATGAATTTGAACTGCCAACCTTGCAAATCTTTCAGTTAGCATCTCAGTGCTTACTGTTGTGCCACCAGGAGTCCTCTCTTTTAAAGATCACAGCCAAGAACCCCCCGTATCTTTCTGTTCTACAATAACAGCACTCTAGTCACACAATCATGTAAAGCACAATAGACTTATTCAAAGTGTTTTTATGCCCATTTATTCAAGGTCCCTGCCTGTAATCTTATCTTTTTTTTTTTAAGTGTTTATTGTGAATTGAGTGATAGTTTATATGGGAGAACACTGGTTTTACACTCACTGTTTCTTTGCAATGATTACAATCTCCTCCATGCATCATCATTCAACAGTATTTGCTTCTATTCTCTCTTTGTTGTTGTTGTTTTTTGGTATGTACACAGAAACACTCAGGAATATATAGCCATTTAAACAACAAAAGGGCACATTCTGCAAGCCTGACTCCTGGCCACCAGCACACAGCCTTTTTCTTCCCATGAGTCTAGAGTCCTCAGCTGCTCCCTCTCTCCATGTCCTCATCTCTGTCTCCATCTCTGGTGTTGCTGCTTCTCTGGATAGGGTCTCACATTCCACTCACACTCTTCTCCTTGATGGTCCTAGGGTCCTTTGTTCCTGGAATGTTAATTAACTACTCCCCCATTTTTGTTGCAAAACTTCTACATTTACAATTATGACAGTCACGATTAGTCATGATAACAGTTATTCACTATTGAATCATAAGAATCTTATCCCCATATCTTTTCACCAGACCCGTCTAGGACAAGATGAAAACTATTCAGTGGGGATTCTACCTTCCCCCGCACACTCTAAAATTATACTCCTTCTTGAAAACCTGTGAGCCAGTCACTTCATGCCTTTATAGCTCCCCCAGTTTAGGTAGCTAATGTCTAAGTTGCCCGTCCCTATCAATCCTGTGTACAGATATATACAGCTATAACCTTACCTTTTAAAGGGAGGAAACAACATAGTTTAATAACAATGCTATTAGGATGATGAATGGTTTTCAAGGATGAGAATGAAAATGAGGAGGGAATGGAAATGTCACATCTTCTCGATAGACCAAAGTCCAGCTCAGTGATTCTCAAACTCAGACTTCTGCCAGAATCACCGAGATGGAGCTGTGATGGTTGACTCTGTTGGTCTGGGAGGGTTCCTCAGGGGGTGTTGATGCCTTCCACCTGAGAACCCCTGCTTTGTCTGATAAGTGGACCTTTCTCTCATTCTTATTCCTCTTGGCTTTGTACTAGCTAGTCCCCTTTGATCTTAATTCTTCTCTGTGGCTATCCTCTGGCTGTATACTTACAGCTGTTTCTGGGACACACACAGAGGGCCACACACACATGCGTGTACCTCTCTGGAATTATTCTCTGACTCACTTGGCATGTGGAAGATCTTTCAGCCCTTCTCAATGATATTCTCTGAGGTTGACCCAGAATCTAACCCCAGCTCAGGGCCTCACTGGCTTACTGCTTTCCTGAAATTTGTTTTCTCTTCCTAAGAGAAGACCTGCCTTGCATTCCATGCCCATAGCCACCCAGCCTCCATTGCTCTGGCTGTTGGGACCTACCTCTGGCATTTTCACACGGCCTTCCTGGAAGGAGCATGTCTTAGGGTCGTGGGTGCAGACATGTCGATATTTACACCAGTGGCAACGGTATGGGCTCTCCACACAGGACAGGCACCTGGCACAGAGGAAACAAAGGCACAGCTTTGGAACCTGAGGAAGCCCAAGCCAGAGAGCTGTACCTCTCCACAGTCCAGCAAGCCCTTTCTAACAGCGAGGAAAACCACTGCGGAAACAGAAGACCTTACACAAACCACCCCCTTTCTCTCTAGGAAGCAAACGCTCCCTAGCCTACACCCTCTTAAGCATGGTGTTACGAGCTCCCTTCCACTCAGGTCCTTGCTAGCACCCCTCCAGCTCTGCAGAGTGGTCCCTTCTATGCAGTGTGGCGCTGTGGGTTAATGCGCTGGACTGCAAGGACAGTTTGAACTGCAAGGTCGGTGGTTTAAGCTCACCAGCCACTCCTTGGAAACCCTTTACAGGGTTGCTATGAGTCAGAACCGACTTCATGGCACTTAAACAACAACAACTCAAGGCTCTCAGTACCCTGTGTGGCCAGTGGGCTGCCATGCCGATGCCCACCAGGACACTGCGTCAGAGCGTAGGCTCGGGGGATGGTGCCCTTGTTGTGCCATTCCTAGAAGGGGGCGAGAAGTGGGACACAGCAGCTTAGTACATTTTTCAGCTCTGGCCGTGACATTTATGTGACACTGAGTCAGAGCCAGCCTTCCTACCGCCCCCATCCAGAGCGGCCCACTTCTACCAGGTGCCCTTCTGCCTCCCCTAGCCCCAGAAGCCTGGGTCCAGGCTTAGCCTCCTGGCCTCCCCTGGACACACGGGGTCTCTCCTTCCATAGGCCCCTCCTCTGACCCGAGAGTAACTGCTTGGTGCCTCAATAGATGGTGGGAGATGGAATCAGTTTAGAGATTTACTCCCAAGAACATGACTGTGAGTGAGAAGTCTATAGACCCACCACACGGCGTTTCTCTGCTCTTCCCATCAGCACCGTGGACACAGTACAGTGGGTAGGCTCCTCGGGAGGCCCTAGGTGGACACGCCTTAGGGACAGCACCTATCCACACCTCTTCCCGCCTGACCACAGGACAGGGCACTGAGCAGGGCTGGGGCACTTACGAGTTGTGGACGCTGCAGTTGTAGAAGACAAAGCTGGTGCTGGCAAACGTCATGCCTGTCTCTTTGGACTTGAGTTGCAGCTGGACAACGTGGTGGTCCCCTGTGGGGCAGAGCCAGCAGAGGTAAGGGGCCAAGGCCAGGGTCCTACCCAAAGGAGAGCTCTCTGGGAGAGGGGAGCTCATGCCCACAGGGCTGCCCAGGTCTAACAGGGCCTGCCTGACTCAGAAGGCCCAGGACACCCCAGAGCAACTGCAGAAGGAGTGTGCTATCCGGTCCCTCCCCCACATTCCATCCTATGCACCTCCCCTGTACACACACATACATGCATGCACCTACAGCACACACATATACAGGCACACATATACACAGACTCACACACACACTTACATATATATAGACACAAACGTGTCCCCACACACATATACACACTCACTCACACACATATACAAACATGTATACAGAGACACACACACACATATACACAGATTCAAACACACGCATATATACAAACACATGTATGCACAGACTGTCTCTCACACACATATACAGACACACGAATACACAGACTCACACACACACACATATATATACAGATTCAAACACACACATATATACAAATACAAGTATGCACAGACTCTCATACACACATATACAGACACAAACGTACACCCACACACACTCACTTATACACGTATACAGACACACTTATACACAGACTCACACACACAGATATGCACACACACATGACACAGATTCAAAAACATACATATATACAAACACATGCATACACAGACTCAAACACACATTTATACACACATGCACACACACATATAACACACAGATGCTAATACACACACTCAGACATGTATGCTTATAAGCACACACAAACACACAAGCACATGCATCTACACACTTGCGTACAAGCACGCAGAAACTCACACATCATGCACACTTCACCCACAAATCCACACTCACACTTGCATGCTTACTCATTTCACACATTCACACACATACTCATGTACACACCCACTTACACACACATAAAAGCATGTGCACTCATGCAAACACAAACTCACACTCACACCCCCACAGGCATGTGCACATGCACACACATACACACTCACACCCACTGGCATACACGGACACACAGACACACACTCACATGGGCACACTTGTGAGCTCACACACACTGGGGTCTAGGCACCCCCCCACACAGGTGCACACTCCCAGGTACATCCACACACTCACACACTGACTACACATGTGAAGCCACAGGTCTGCACACACTCAGAAAGCCTTGCCTGCATGAGCACATGTATGAGCCCAGCCTCGCTGCCCACCTCTGCTGAATCCCCAAGCAGACAGCCCTCCTCTAGTGGGCTCAGGCCCCCTGCATTCTCAGCTGGTGCTGGGGAGAATCTGGGTCCGTGTGTAATCCACAGACCTGACCTCCAGACCTACTTCCAGCCTAGGCTCTGTCTTCCCTGAGAGCCTCCAACAAATATGACAAGGCCACATGGAAGAGACAGCACAGTCAATCTGCCTAGGCTGGGCCTGGGCCATGCCCTGAGCCTCTGTCCACTCTGTCCTTCCAGGAGTAGCTGCTGGTGGACAACTGGCAGCTCTGGGCATGCAGGGGTGGCAGATGGCAGGTCTGGGTTAGGAGCGCTGAGACCCTGAGGACTCCAGGGACCCCCATCCCTGCTCCTGACAGCTTCCTCACTCCACCTTGGACTCCGAGTGTAACTGCAGCTCTGAGGCTGCCCCTGGCCTTGCCCCCCACCTTCTCTGCAGCCACTCCTCACTTACAATGGGTTGACTCTTGGGTGCTGACGTGGGGCTCAGATAGAAGGACAGTGGGATGGGAGGTGATACTTCATCCCCTCTCTTTGCAACATAACCACAGCCCAAAGTTCTCTTCAGGCCTTCCCTGCCCTAGACACCCTTAGTACCCCCACATGGCCTTTTTCCCTGCGGGCAGGAGGCAGACAGACAGCTCACCGTTGTCTGTGATGATTCGAGGCACCTCCCTGGCTGCGGGGGAGTAGCACTGGATCTGACTGCCCACTACCAGCCCATCCATCTCTGACAGGTCCTCAAAGGTGCAGCTGACGCCTGCTGACAGCTCTGGGACATTGTAGGTCTCCAGGACCAGCTGTGAGTCCGCAGGCAGGGGAGGGAGCAGAGGAAGCAGCCATGGAATAAGGGCAGAAAGAGGGAGCGAGAGAGAGACCAGAGAAAAGGCAAAGAGAATAATCAGAGGTAATAGTAGCCCAGGGAAGACAAGGCCACATTTATGACAAGAACCATTAGAGAAGGTGGTGGAAGGTAAAAACAACAACAACAACAAAATAAGAGAGAGACAAAATAAACATATTTCAAAATCTGAACGGGTTTGGTCCCAGGAAATGTGAATGTGTAGAGTCCTGATGTGGTGCTGTAGGATAAGCACTGGACCACAAAGTCAGTTTGAACAGCAAGGTCTGAGGTTCAAACATACCAGCCCTCCTCAGACACCCCATACAGGGTCGCTATGACTCAGAACTGACTTGAAGGCATTTAACAACAACAACAGCAGCAGGTGATTTGTGAGAAGGCGCGTTGGGTAGATCAGAGGTGCCACTCCACGACCTCTTCTGTTACTCCCAATTTTGGAAAATGGCAACACCAACCAGCGATGATGTCCTGATGTGTGAACTTGGACGCCATCCTTGCCCCTCTGTGCGTACACACTTTCCTCATTTTATGGGCATGGATAATCACACTTACTCTTTCCTAGCCTTTGGATCAATTTTAGTTTCCTGGTTTCCCTGTCTTTTCACTTCCGTCTCCCATCCCCAGTGGACACTGAGTTTTGAACATGCTTTCACACTGCTTCAGAGCTGCCCATGCTGGGCAGGTCATGCCCAGTCCCCTGAGGGGCCTTGAACTGAGGGTCCGTGAGGCGAGAGAGCCTTTGTACGTCCCCAGTCCTGACGCTGAGATGCTTACCAGCACATTGTACTGGGAGACAGAGATGTTGTTGGGATGGACCATCAGCCGGACACAATGCTTCATCTCTGAGGCAAACCTGCGGGGCTCTCGGGAGCGTTCACACCGTTCCTTCCGGGTGCACCTGTGGAGGACAGACCCCAGGTTACCTGTGAGAAGGCCCCTTGGCCAAGGAGGGCCCTCTTCTGAGCTCACGTATGACCAGCAGCTCCCAAACATGCCAGCCAACATGCTTCCTTCCCCTGCCCGGTCCTCCATTATCCTCCAGTTTGAATAATGTAGTAACTCTAATCACTCGCTCTGCAATGCAGAAACATGAGAGGGATCCTAAACCCATTGCTCTTGGCTATAAAGTGCTCCAAAGTCTTTCCTAGTCCCCTCTTGCCCTCCAGTCACCCACAGTCCTTGCCATTCTTCTTCCATCCTTCGGCAAAGTAAGCCTTGTTCTTTCCATAAATATAATACAAGCGTAGTGGTTACGAATCGGGCTGCGAGCCGCAAGGTCAGCAGTTCGAAACTACCAGCGGTTCCGCGGGAGAACGATGAGGCGGTCTGCTCCCGTAAAAGATTTACAGCCTCGGAAACCCTGTGTAGGGTCACTATGAGTTGGAATCGACTCCACGGCACACAACAATAACAACAATACACGCTTTCAGTCTTCCTTACCTTTGTATGTCAGCCCCTGCAAAGGTGGCAGACAGTCCAGAGAACCCTACGGGGGTGGTTCTACTCTGTCACATAGGATCACCATGACTCAGAGTAGACTCTAAGGTACCCAAGAACAATCCCCTTTCCCAGGCTAAACCACGATCTTCCCTTTTCTCTGTAGCCCTTGGAGTATTATTGCTATTTGAGGGACAAAGATGATTTCTCCAGGACAGGCACCCCAGGAGTCAAAGGTCAGGGAAGAGTTTGATGGTTTTTGTGGCGTGTCCCATTGCTCCAGCCAGCCGATGACAGCAAGAGCAGCTGGCTCGGAGTCTTGGAAGTTAATTGCCCAGACCGACATGTCTGTGAGGACCCCATTACCTGCAGCCATTAGGCTAATGTTATATAGACTTTTTCAGGGTGTCTGCTCTGACATTGCTATGAATAGTGTTATTACGCCCATTAACAGCAGATACCGAGAGTCATACAAGCTTAAATTATTCATTGACTCCCCAACTTTGAAGTTTCTACTTCTAAGAGCAATCAGGAGGTCTGAGAAGTGTCTTTGATTAAATTATGAAAGGGGTGGGAGGAAATGCTTCCAGGACAAACATTACCTGCAGTTTCCAAAGAGAGGTGCAGATGGAGAAGAAAGACGACGTGGTTCCAAAGGCATGTGTTTGGGGCTCCCAGGGCAAGTTCTACCTGCATTGTTTGTTGCTGTTTCTAAAGCTCTTTTGGCTGCATCTGGCCATCCCTCCAAGGAGACCTTGTCATGCAGTTATTAAGTGCTTGGAGATTAATGAAAAGTTTGGTGGTTCAAATCCACCAGCTGCTCCACAGGAGAAAGGCATGATACCTTGATATCATAAAGATTACAGTCTTGGGAACCATATGGGGCAATTCTACTCTGTCCTATAGCGTCTCTATGAATTGGAATAATCTCAATGGCAGTGGTTTTTGTTTTCGTTTTTTTATGGTCATCCCTCCGGAGAATCCCAAACCAATAAGCAGCACCTTCCCCTAAATGCAGTTCTTACCATGGAAGGCACCTATAGCTTATCATTGTAAACATATTATCTAACTGTGTCATCTGCATATCACAGGTTATTAATGAGTCTTCCTCCAATCCTGATGTCATGCTCTTCTTCATAGAGTTCAACTTCTCAGAATATTTGCTTCTTAGACTATCAGCATACAGGCTGAATAAGTATAGTGAAAGAATATAACACGGATTCATACCTTGCCTTACTTTAAACCACATGGTATCCGCTTGTGATTCAACAACTGACTCTTGGTCTATGTACAGGTTCTGCATGAGTACAATTAAATGTTTTAGAATTCTCATTCTTTGCACTGTTGTCCATAATTTGTTATGAACCTCACAGTCAAATGTCTTTGCATGGTCAATGAGACACAGGTAACCATCTTCTGGTATTCTCTTCCAGCCATGATCCATCTGACATCAGCAATGATATCTTTCATTCCACATCCTTTTCTGAAATTGGTTTGAGTTTCTAACAACTCTGTTGATACACTGCTCTATTTGTTTTGGGATTATCTTCAGCACAATTTTAATTACATGTGATATTAATAACATAGTTCAGTAATGTCCACATTCTGTTGGAGTATCTTTCTTTGTAATAGGCACAAATATGGATCTCTTCCAGTCAATTGGCCAGGTAGCCATCTTCCAGATTTCCCATGAGTGCTTCCAGCAATGCATGCACTTAATAAAGCATCTCAACTGGTAGGTTATCAATTCTTTGAGTTTTTTTTTTTAACCAAAGCCTTCAGTGCAGCTTGGCCTTCTTCCTACAATGCCACCAGTTCTTGATCACATGCTACCACCGGATATGGTTGACTATTGGCCAATTCTTTCTGGTATTCCTTTTATCTTCTTTTGATGCTTCTTAAATAACTCTAGTAGTGTAATGGTTATGAGTCGGGCTGTGAATCACAAGGTCAGAAGTTTGAAACGGCCAGCTGTTCCATGGGAGAAAGATGAGGCTTTCTGCTCCTGTAAAGATTTATAGCCTCAGAAACCCTGTACAAGGTTGCTATGAGTCGGGATGGACTCCATGGCACATAACAACAACAACAAATAACTCAAACTGACCAGGCAGCTGTCAATCTGTCATAATGTGATGATTCCAAAGTTGTTGTTGATGCTGGAAGCTTTGCCACATGTATTTTAAACACCAGCATGGTCATCCATGGTGGACAGATTTTAGCTGAGCTTTCGCACTAAGAGAGATTAAGCAGAAAGAGAGACAGACTACTTCTGGATGTTTAATCACTGAAAACCTTATGGATAGTAGCAGACCGTTGTCAGATATAGTGCCAGGAGATGACAGCATTATGAATAGCACCAGAATATTATCAGATATGGTGCCAGAAGATGAGCCCCTCAGGTTGGAAGGCACTCAAAATACGACTCGAGAAGAGCTACCACCTCAAAGTAGAGTTGACCATGATGACATGAATGGAGTAAAGCTATCAGGACCTTCATTGGCTGGTGGGGCACAACTCAAAATGTGGAGAAATAGCTGCAAACATCCATTATTAATTAGAACATGGAATGTACAAAGTATGCACCTAGGAACACTGAAAGTTATAAAAAATAAAATGGAACACATAAAGACCCATAGCCTAGGCATTAGTGAACTGGTATGGACTGGTATTCACCATTTTTAATCTGACAGTCTATGGTTTACTATGCCGGGAGTGATAAATTCAAGAAGAATGCATCATAGTCAACATCAAAAAGGAACCTTTCAGATCTATCTAGAAGTCTAGTGCTGCTGTGATAGGATACTACCCATAAGCCTTCAAGGAGACCAGTTAATACCACTATTTTTAACTTTATGCACCAGCCACTAAAGCCAGTGAGGATGAAATTGCAGAACTCTATCAACATCTTAAGTCTGAAAGTGATTAAACATGCAATCAAGATGTATTGATAATTACTGGTAATTGGAATGCAAAGGCTGGAGACCAAGTGGAAGTATCAATAGTTGGAAAATATGGTCTTTGTGATAGAAATGATGCTGGAGATGGCATAATAGAATTTTGCAAGACCAATAACTTATCCATCACAAATAACTATTTATAAAAACATAAAATGCGACTATACCCATGGACCTCACCAGATGGAATATACAAGAATAAAACTGACTATATCTGTGGGAAGTGACATTGGTAAAGCTCCATATCGTCAGCCAAAACCAGGCCAGGGACAGACTGTGGAGCAGACCATCAACTGCTAATATGCAAGTTCAGGCTAATGCAGAAGAACATTAAAACAAGCCCATGAGAGCCAGAATATGTTCCTGAACCTATCCCATCTGAACATAGAGACGATCTCAAGAACAGATTTGATGCATTATGCACTAATGACCGAAGACCAGAAGAGCTATGTGATGACATCAAGAAAATCACACAGGAAAACAGCAAAAGTTATTAAAAACACAGGCAAGAAAGAAAAGACCAAAACGGGCTAGAAGAGACTCTGAAATTTGCTATCCAAAGTGGACATGCTAAAGTGAATGGAAGAAAATGAGGATGTCAAATAGCTGAACAGAAAATTTCAAAGGGTAACTTGTGAAGTCAAAGTCAAGTATTATAATGAAATGTGCAAAGACCAGGAGTTAGAAAACCAAAAGAGAAGAACATGCTCTATGTTTCTCAAGCTGAAGGAACTGAAGAAAAAATTCTAGCCTAGACTTGAAATATCAAAGGATTCTATGGGTAAAATTTTGAACAAAGCAAGAAGCATCAAAAGAAGATGGAAGGAATACATAGAGTCATTGTACCAGAAAGAAATGGTTGATGTTCAACCACTTCAAGATGGATGCAGCATAGAGAACAAAAACCAATGGCACTGAAGGCAGAAGTCCAAGCGGCAGTGAAGGCAATGGTAGAAGACGAGGCTCCAGAAATTGATGGAATACAAATTGAAATCGTTCAATAAACTGACACAGCACTGGAGGCATTCACTCAACTATACCAAGAAATTTGGACAGCAGCTATCTGACAAACCAATTGTAAGAGACTCGTATTTGTTCCCATATTAAAAAGTGGTGACTCAGCAGAATGAGGAAATCATTGGACAATATCATTATATCACATGCAAGCATAATTGTGTGTGTGTGTGTGTGTTTATTATGAACGGAGTGATAGTTTACACCATCGTCTCATTGCAATGATTACAATTCCCTCCATGCATCATCATTCAACAGCATTTGTTTCCATTCCCTCTGTTTTTCTTTTTTTGAGGGGTGGTGTTGGTGTTGGGGAGATGCACACAAAAACATTCAGGAATATATAATAATTGAAACAACCAAACGGCACATTCTGAAAGCCTGCCTCCTGGCCACCAGCACTCAGTCCTTTTCTTTCCATGAGTCTAGAGTCCTCAGCTGCTCCCTCTCTCCATGTCCTCATCTCTGCCTTCATCTCTGGTGTCGCATCTCC